CCCTGGAATAAATAAACTCCCGGCTAATGGAATACCTAATATATTATAAACTTGCTCATATAAAATTTAATACGTTATGTTTAAATTGTTCTTGATCAATCAATAGCCGCCACAATTGTTATCAAACAGGATATCTGCCGCATATATTACAATAAAATGTGTTACCTAATTTTGTAGCCGCTGACTCTGGTAAATGATCTATACCATCTCCAAGAATCGCAACTACATTCAGTAACCTTCAAATTGAAGTGATTGAATTATTTGTGCTTTTCCATTGGTGATGCCCCGCATGAAACTCTGCAAGATCGTATTGTGTTGTGCTGTGAGTAATTCATCGCGACAGCTTTTCCATACGACGACGTAAGGCCCAACTGCTACTTTAGCTCAAGGTTTAACTGCGTCAGATAAAAATTTACAACCTGCAAATGATTTATTAACAGCCACCAATACGGCGGTTCTTCCAAATAGTACTTGCGATTCCTTAATAATCATCGCTTCATCTGGAAATATATGATGTTAAACAGAAAGGAACCTTACGTTACCAATCAATACAGAATGACTTTGATGTGGTGTCGTTGTAGCTGTAAAAGCAGCATATGAATTTCTTATAACTATATTACACTCATTACCTAATACTGCGAAATTTAACATCATACATTTCAATACCTTTCCATATTTCACAATTTAATCTTCCAAGAGGATATTCCCTTGAAGATTCGGCTGCTCCAACAATCACGATTAAGATTCTTTAGTCGATTCCAAGTTATTCTTTATATTTCAAAATGTGTAACATCTCTTTGATTTTTTGTATGCGTATCGGTCTAAACGAAACAACTTTTGTGACCTTTGTCCTGCCTCCTTCTTTAATTAATATTCCATTTTGCGCTCCAATACCAGTTCCAACCATAACAGCCGTCGGTGTACTAAGCCCAGTGCACATGGAAATGCAACTAAATACATAACTTGAGACAAACTATGAAATAATTGTTGCTACCTTAAAAATTTCCGGGAAATTTTAAAGATCTCGCGAGTATTATCTCCTAACCAACGAATTTAAGCAAGCCCAATCCAATAACTAAAGATACAAAATAATCCGTTACGGTATTGGCAAATACTTGTATCGAAGCTTTAAATGTTTGAGCTTCTTCAACGATATGAGACAAGACTGTATCTTTCCCAGAATGAGTAACTTCTACATCAAAAGTTCCTTAATCCATACACGGTACTACCTATCACTAAACCTTCCGGTTGTTTATTCAAAGATTGACTTCCACTGCAACCATGATACATCGACGCTGAAGTAACTATTTATCGGCTGGAACCTTACAATCTTTACGATTTCAACAACTTGAACTAATTCGGTAAATGAACTTGCCCCATTCAAATCCTGGAAAGACCATAGAAATAATGAAAAACTTAAGTAACATATAAAATGCTGAACGATTTCTCTTGTACGAGTCAAAGTTCTAATTGAGTTTTTTGATTATTATCGGAGATAGAACGCCAAAATTCATCAATACTTTCAATGTGTTCGAACTCCTTCTTGTTCAATTACTTGAGCATGATCGGGACTTTCATCCCATAAATTTGAAGATCAACGTTTTGGTTTAATTGGAGTCTCTTTAAACTCTATGCTCTCTATTAAATTGGATGCCTATTGTTAATATAAAAAGATCGGAATCATTCTTCGCTGTCGCTCTTCAGAGAGCAAAGATACTTTGATTGACAATCCAACGGTGCCATGGTAATTTTCTCGATGCTGTTCACGCAAGAACAAGTCATGCCAAGTACTTGTATCTGACAAACATTAATTTTTTTATCTGAATCAAAAGTATGTGTTAATAGTGAAATGAATCTTCTGGTTGTGAACTCGTCAAAACTACAGTCATCAATAGTATGGGTTTTTTGAATTTTGTCAATATTATTTATATTTTCTTGGTACGTCAAAACTAAATATTCAATACCCTCAAAATCTTCATAATCTTTAATCAATTTCTTCATTAAAATCATATATCTCCCACTCATTTTTAATCTCACATCAATATTGATTATTCCGTGTGTATCCTTAAAGGCGTTCTTAATATTATCGACACAAGACATACACGTCATTCCTTTCACCGGCAACGTAATGATTTTTGTGAATCATGATTTGATCGACAAATCCACAATTTCGATCGTTTATAATTTTGTCAATTTTCTCATTGAAAGAAATTGTTGTCGCTTAATTACTTCTAAATTCACACTAATATTAACTATTCCTGATAACGAAGAAACTAGATTAGTTATTGAATTAACACAAGACTGACATGAATTGGAATCACTTCTACTTCAACGAAATGCTGTTGAAATATTAATGGAGAAGCTATTGGTTGAAATAAATTCTTGTAAATCCCCGGTGATATTAATATTACTATAATCTCATGTCGATTAGGCCATGCAACTTCGATTTTTCGGTGCACGTCACCCGGCCGGGTCAATTTTTCAAATTTTAACAAAAAAAAAGTTTATATAAAAAGTTTATCATGTGACTATAAAGTGTAATTTTATTGGTAGATTAAAGCTTTATTGTATTATCGTTATCTGTTATGTATAATTCCTTTCTTACAACTCATTGGTTTCAAGTAGCTTCCCAAGCAACCAGTGATAAATATAGAATCGATATATTTCCAAAAATCTTTTAGTTTTGTTTTTTTCTCAACAGGTAAATCTTCCCAATCCTTCAAAACTTTAGAATTG